CATAACGGGACAGTTGGGTGAACTTCAACCCGTACTCATGAACACTCATAGACTCCTACTTAAGTGTGAGTAAATCAAATACCTTGGCCTTTTTTAATTCTTGAGGAAAGAAACACCCCAAGAAAGCTTCCTCAAAACAGGCCCAACTCGCAGGTAGTGCATTCTCCGCTCTCCCCCCTTTCCATAGGTCGAACCAAGTTCTTGCAATATCCTTCAATTGATATGTAGCTAGTTCAATCCGCTCAGTATCTACCACAGGCATCACATCAAAAATCTTCTTTAGCTCCTCAACGAAGTTCTCCAGATCTTCAGTAGTGCTCGAACCCATGAAACTCGAAGGATTCATCCCCAAGAACTCAAGAATCCTTGATGTGTGAGCTCCTTCATTCGAGCTCCCCTTTGCTGATCAATCTCATTAGTTACAGATTGACTCAGAGTTCTAATTGCATCTCTGAACTCGACATTAGAAACTTCCCCTTGAGGTTGCACTCCCGGAGCATAAGGTAACTCTTCCTCCTCAACATAACGTCTAGGAAGTCGCCCTCTGCCAACTCTTCGTGGAGGCATGATTTAGAGACAAACTCTAACGCACGAGATGATTGTGAAAGAAGTGAGAAATCTTCATAAATATTGCAGCCTCCTAATTATAGATGTGACACGCTTCACACCGATAGCTAGGACTCTACATACACGACTTCATAGACTCCCTAGGAATCTTAAACTCTGTGCTCTGATACTAAGTTTATCACGCCCTAAACCTACACCCTGGGAGGGACCGGCACTCAGAGACCATTACTGGCCCCAAGCGAACCCTTGGCCTGGCTTTCTTAACTTAGCGGAAACCTAACTCAACAGAATAACTCAAAGCAATGAAAGGTCATAAAACAACCCAACTGATAACATCTAGCCAAAAAGGCAACTCGAGTCTCAAAATAGAATATTTGCATATATATATATATATAGATGAGAGACTACAAACTAACTGACTGACTGTCTATGAAACCTCTATAACATTGAGATGGATGTTGGAACAGACCCCGCAATATCCTAATAAAGCAAAACTAGAAACACAAAATAACAGAGTCCTCCGGAAGGCAATGAGGCTCACCACTGAATCTGGAGTGCTCAGCTGGATCAACGGCGTGCTGGATGTTGATCCTAGGTACCTGTGTCTGCATCGTCACAAGATGCAGGCCAACTGGCATCAGTACATTGAATGTACGAGTATGCGAGATGGAAATCTAAACCACAACTTAAGCTTTAAAGGAATACAAGTGAACACTTACCTTAGCTCTGTTCGACTCATGAATAACTGAACTCAAATGTATAGCAATAAGACGCATGCAATACATAAAGCTTGTAAAACATTAAAAACAACTTAGTTCATTAAGGCAAAGCAATAAAAACTCAACTTTACTTATATAAAAGAAATATAACTTTAATGGGAGATTCTTTAACCGACGACCACCAATATGAGCCTTAGTGATGATACAACATTTTACCTCACGTTGCGCAAGGACCATACTATACCTTGCCGTGATAAAGGACCTTACTTAACTTAGTGGATCCACTAGCTTAATTTTACGTGATCATCTAAAAAGAATGACCCATTAATTCCCATGTTTGGCTACATGGTTCTTATGGAGAGTTGAGTTAATATGAACTCGCGTCCCCAATTTGGTGCTCAATACTACTCCCAAAATACTTTAGCTCATAAGTTTTTTAAACACATCTTTCTATAGTTTGGGATAATTGCTCAAAATCTAGCCCAAAGGCTCACTTGGAATCATAGTTCCCCTCTTACTCAAATGTGAAAACATTTATAAACTTCTTTGGGAATACTTATTAGTTCCCTAATACTTTTGAGAAATGAAGTCAACTCTATACTCTTGGCTTAACTTGAAACTCTATACTCTTTACTCAACTTGAAATTTGAGCCTTAAAGTGAAGTTAAAACGTTCAATAAAGACTCTTGAAAAACTTTGAAGACTTACTTTGACCTGCTTCTTAACTTCTAGACTTGACTATAACTTCACTTGACTTTGATTCGAACTTTCCTCGAATTTGGATTATGAATTCACGGATAATAATCTCATGTTTATGGATGAGTTCGGGATGTTTAGATGTACCTTAGAGTGTTGAAAACAACTATAAAACATAGGTACATTACCAAGGAACATGTATGAAAAAGTGGGGAAGGAATGGGAAAGATTGGCGTCCTTGGCGCTCTGAGTGGCGCGGGGCGCCAGCCCTCAGACTTCAGAGGTGCCTAGTGGGGGCTCTTCTAGGCGGCTGCCCCAAGGGCTGGACTTCAAAGTCCCTTTTGGGGTGCACTGGCTGGCACAACGCCCCAGCCTTTTTCCCCAAAAATTCGATTATTCTCCTTCCTTTTTCCAACTCTAAACCACCTTAACCTCAAAGGTTCCAGCCCTAAACACTTAGAATCATAAAGACCCTTAATATACAATAGATTCAACCTAGAAACACAATCGGAAACATGTCCCAAATCAACAAAAACTTCAACACAATCACAAGACTTCAACAACCACAACAACAAGGCTTCAACAAACACAACCAAATCTTTTCTCGGAAATTAAAACGAGTTTGGCGTGTGGGGGAATGAACCAACCCAACACTATGATCTCACATACCTTAATAGGGATCACCCCCGACGAAAACCACGACGATCTTGACGAATCCTTTCTTCTTCTTCTCTTTCTCCTCTTCTTTCTCACTTCTCTAAAAAGCCCTAGCTCTCACTTTAAAAAGGAAAAATTGATTTAAAATCAGTCTAAAACCTTAATATAACCAAAATAAATGGTTAGGGAAATGATCAAAATACCCTTACAAATTCGGACTAAACTGTCCTGTGCCAACAACCTAACTTCCAAAGGGCATAACTTACTCATACAAACTCGGAATCGAGCAAACTCAGCGGCGTTGGAACGATCATTCCAAGAGTTTTACAAAAATAACTGGAAATTCAAATAACTCATCTTGAGCTTAGAGTTATGACTACTCAAAGTTGACCAAAAACTCATTTTTTCCCTATATTTAACCAAATTTCCATATTTTCAATTCTTTCCAAAAATGACTATTTCCAATTTCCAGCTTCTTCATAGTTGTTTCAAATTTCTGGATGTTACATGATTACTGAAATATATATCTGAAAACCTGTGCAAATGCACTAGACTTCGATTGTGGGAGCTAATATTTACCGACATAAAACCATGTGAGCTAAACGTGGAGTCCGATGTATACGCCTCCTCGAGAGGACCCAATATACCTTGCTAGGGGTATAGAGGCATGACTAGCGTGATCACTAAAAATAATGCCCAATAGAGGGGAATTATAAACCTACGTGGGCATGTAGTTCTGCAACTATGAGGGTGACTGACCCTAGTCCAACTCGGTATTTAGTCTACTCCCATCTAAAATGTGTACAAAACAACATAACTGAAATAAACTGGCTAGCATAATATTCTGACATGATGACTGAAAATGCAACCTTAAAGTAGTGATAATGAAACATTGAAAATTGAGGCATGTATATATGTTTATCGACCTAGCTAGAGTAATTCATGAACTAAATGAAACTACACAACTAGGGTTCTGAGTTTCATGCAAGGAACTAAACAACAATGTTATGGAAGCATGATAATCTAAGTAGGAATATTCTAACACCTAAATCACAACAAATTTTCTAAGGTTCAAGAAACACTAGGTCTAGATAATATGTAGGGAATCAAGAATCTGACTGAAGTTTGGAGACCTAATGGATGAAAAGAACCCACTAGTGAAATCCCACATACCTAGTGATGATATTCACTGAGAAATCTTTCAATTGTTGGGCTGGAACTCGAGAAACCTTGTTGCGTGTTCTTGAGAAAGCTATTGCCTGATTTTTCCCTTTTTGCTCTAAGTCTTATGATTTTTTGTGAATGAAACACTTAGGGTAGGTTTTTACTAAGTTACTAGTCTCAAACTGAACAAAACTACATAGTTTAGGGGTTAAACGATGTAGTTTAGGTGTCCAACGCATACGGGAAAATACCAAAATGACCCCACTTAAAAACTGACAAGACCCTTTCGCAGATAAATTGACGAACCCTTAAATGGATCACGGCCCGTTAAGTGGGTCGTGATTCTAGGGTCAGTGGCTACTTGTTCTTGGACCTTCTCTATACGGTCCACTTCATAGACATTGTGAAGGATCACAGACCGTGAAGGTCACTGTGGTCCTTCACTTAGGCAAGGGGCCTACTGGCTTGGCTTCACAGAAGCCACCACAACCCTTCATCAAGACCACGACCCGTGAAGGGCTCCGTGGTCTGATGTTTGAGCCTGGTGAGTTTTGCCTTACTTCCACGAGCCTCCCTACGGCTCGTGTGGTGGTCCACGAAACATGAAGGGTCCCGTGGTCCAATTCTTCTGGTTGGGTGTGAACCACAAACAGGTTGATGGACCAAGGTTCCTTTCACGATCTGTGAACCCTGTCGTAGTTAACCTATTTTTCTGTTGTTCTGGTGTTCTGGTTTGATAATGTTCTGAGGTGTTACAATGTTGACCTTATCGCTTGCATAAGCCAAGGAAACAAACATGCAAGGCTAAGTTGGTGACAGACTGCTAAGGTGTGTGCAATGGCACCAACGCCTGATTCCAAAGTGGCAAGTGAAGACTACTAGAAAATGATATATTTCTAGATGCTTTTTTTAATGATTCTTTTTTAAATATTACGTTAAGTATAAGGAAAGGTAGACCTTATTTAATGTAATATGTTTTGTAAGAAAGTTAATAGTAGTTGGATATGTATGGTCCTCTACTAAAAGTGGCATCTGAACCCTTCTTCTTGAGGGATCTATGAAGGCAAGAAGGCTAAGGTTTTTTCTCTAGTTCTTCTAATGTGTGAGCTGAGCAGAAGAAACATAACATTCAACGACTTCTTAGGTGCAGGACTTTCTATGTTTACAGGAGAAAATTATCACATATGGGTGATAAATATGAAGGCTTATCTTAAAGCTCTTAGTCTATGGGAAACAATTGAAAGTGAAGATGATCTTCTTCCACTTGGACCAAATCCAACCGTTGCACAAATGAATATTTATAAAGATGAGAAGTCAAGTAAACCAAAGGCTCTCACATGTCTTCATTCAGCACTTTAAGATGTGATTTTCACAAGAATAATGACTTGTGAAACACCTAAAGAAGCATGGGAGAAGCTAAAAGAGGAGTTCGATGGAAGTGACAGAGTTAAGACTGTCAAACTCTTAACTCTCAAAAGAGAAATTGATATGTTAATGATGAAATAAGGAGATATTGTGAAAGAGTGTTCTTCCAAACTTGTCGAGATTGTTAAAAAATAAGGTTGTTTGGTGAAACCTTTCCAGATTCAAAAGTGGTGGAGAAGATAATGATATGCCTACCAGCAATGTTTGAGTCTATGATTTTAGCAATAGAAGAATCTTTTGATCTGAAGACCTTATTGGTAGCGGAATTGATCAGTAAGTTGAAAGCTCAAGAACAACAATCAAGTATAAGAGATGAAGAAGTAGTGGCATTTTAGGCAAAGCATAAAGGCAAGCACCTAATGAAAGACAATAGCATGGAGATAAAGTAGCAAAGGGAAAAACATGGAGGGAACCTTCAAAGAAAGGAAAGTTTCCACCTTGGAACCATTGTAAAATAACCAATTATCAAGAAAACGATTGTTGGTTCAAAGGAAAGTCATCGATTCAATGTGGATTTTGTAAAAAAAATGGGTCATATTGAGAAGAATTGTATGCTCAAGCAGAGTCAACACCAACAACGCCATGTCCAGCAAGAAAATTTTACTGAAGAGTCCAAAAAGGAAGAAAAAAGCTTATTTTTTCTTCTCATGAAGAAAACACAACCAAAAAGTCCTCATGGTTCATAAACAGTGGATGTACAAGTCATATATCACACGATGCACTCATGTTTCATACAATTGACAAGTCAATCAAAACAAAAGTAAGGATGGGAAATGGTGAAACAGTAGATGCACTTAGAAAGGGTTCAGTTGCCTTTCAGAGTACAGAACGTACAAAGTTTATACATCATGTTTTGTATGTTCCTCCTTTAACTTGTAACTTGTTAAGTGTGGCTCAAATGATGTCTAAAGGTTATTTCAATATTTTTTAAGGACACACATTGTTTGGTTTTTCACTCAGAAGATAGCTTGATTGTTAAAGTAGAAATGGTGGATAAAACTTTTCACTTAGATGGGAGGTTTGATAGAGAAAATTTTGCAAGTAGGATGAGTCATGGTTGTGGAACAAAAGATATGGTCATTTTAACTATGCTACTTTAAAGTTTATGTATTTAATAGGTTTTACTAAGGATTTACCTGAGATTTCACTATCTAAAGAAGTTTATGACTCATGTCAGATGGGTTAGGTACATAAGAAATCATTTCCTAAAAATATTACCTGGAGGGCAACTGAAAAACTTGAACTAGTTCACACTAATGTGTGTGGACCTATGCATGCATCATCTTTGGGACACAATAAATATTTTTTGCTCTTTATTAATGACTTAGCAAGGATGAGTTGGGTTTCTGATTAACAAGTCTCAAGTATTTTGAGTTTTCAAGAAATTTAGAGCTTTTGCGGAAAGACAGAGTGGTTGTAAGCTAAAGGCTTTACAGTCGGACAAAGGTTGTGAATACACTTCAAGTGAGTTCAATAAGTATTGTGAGTATATGGGGTTGATCAGCAGTTGACAGTATGTTATTCACCCGAACAAAATGGAGTCTCAAAGAGGAAGAACAGAAAAGTAGTTGAAATGGCTAGATGTTTGTTGCTGGAAAAGAAACTGCCACAAAGCTTTTGGGCAGAAGCTATTCATACTTCAGTGTATTTGTTAAATAGGCTGCCAACAAAGTTGTGGATGAAAAGACTCCTATTGAGGCATGGAATTGAATACAACCATCTGTCATACATCTAAAAGTTTTTGGTATGATATGCTATTCTCATGTTCCTTCTATCATAAGAAGCAAACTTGAACCAAAAGGTGAATTTGGGATTTTTATTGGTTATTCATCACAAGCCAAGGGTTATAGAGTTTTCAACTTTCAAACAAAAAGTATTTCAATCTGAAGAGATGTAGTCGTGGATGAGCATGCTTATTGAAACTGGATAAGGAGAAAATTGAGAAAGATAATGCGGCTTTTCAGAACTAGAGTCAGTTGCCTAAAATCCAATCATTTGGGTTTGAAACTCTAGAAGAAAACAAAGAATCAGATGGGGAGTCCTCACCTAATTCGCCAATTTTGAAGACAAGGTCCCTTTCCGAGATATATGAAAGACGTAATGTTGCAATCTCATAACCAAATATCTACCAAGAAGAATCAAGACATGAAGTTTGGATTCAAGCTATGAAGGAGAAGATTGGTATGATAAAGAAGAATGATACTTGGAAGCTAGTTGATAAACCCAAAAATAGAAATGTACACGAGGTGAAGTGGGTTTATAGAACCAAACTTAATCCAGATACGTCAATTTATAAATACAAAGCACGCTTGTTGTGAAAGGTTATGCGCAAGCTGTAGGTCTGGATTATGGAGACACGTTTGCACCCGTTGCACGAACTGATACAATAAGGTTGTTATTTGCATTGGCAGCTCAGTCAAATTAGGAGATCTATGTTTATCAACCAGAAGGCTTTCAGGTTGCAGGAATGGAGGATAGAGTCTACCAAATTCATAAGGCATTGTATGGATTAAAGCAGGCTCCTTGAGCATGCTATAGTAAGATAGATAATTATCTCATTCATTATGGCTTCAAGAGAAGTGAAAATGAAGCCACTTTATATGTGAAGAACGCTAAAGGAGGAGATGTGTTTGTGGTCTCACTCTATGTTGATGATCTTCTGGTAACAGGAAGCAATGAAGCTATGCTGAATCAGTTCATGCGAGAAATGGAGACCAAGTTTGAAATGTCAGATTTAGGTGAAATGAGTTACTTACTGGGAATGCAAATTCATCAACCTATTGATAGAATCTTTACTTCTCAGAGAAAATATGCATGGGATATTCTTAAAAGGTTAAAGATGGAAAGGTGCAAGCGTGTACCGATTCCACTAGTTCACAATGAAAAGATTTTAAATTTTGAAGGAGGTGACAGGGTTGATCCAAGCGTTTATAGAAGTCTGATTGGTAGTTTGATGTATTTCACAGCAACAAGACCTGATCTCATTTTCGCGGCAAGTCTTTTGTCAAGGTTTATGGAAGCTCCAAGTGAAGTTCATCTTGGTGTTGCTAAACAAACGTTGAGATATATCAAAGGAACTGTTGATTATGGTATTTGGTTAAAAAAGGAAGAGCAAGGGAAACTAATAGGTAATTCAGATAGGGATTGGGCAGGAAGCGTTGATGATATGAAAAGAACTTTTGGATATGCCTTGACACTTGGTTCAGACATCTTCTTGTGGAATTCAAAGAAGCACAAGGTGGTAGCTAAATCTTCTGCAGAAGCAGATCGCCGCTGCTAGTGCAACTAATCAGGCTCTATGGTTATGAATGATTCTACATGATTTGGAGCAAAAATTCATTGAAGCTACTGTCATTAAAGTTGAAAACAAGCCAGCAATATCTATGGCCAAATATCTGGTGCAACATGGCCGTAGCAAGCATATAAATGTGAAGTTTCACGCTATCAGGCAACCAGAGAAACAGTGCAAAGTTGAACTTGTTCATTGCAAATCAGATCAGGAGATTGCAGACATCATGACTAAGGCTTTTCCTAAGGGGAAATTTGAAGTTCTAAGGGATAAGTTAGGAGTATCCAAGAAAAATCTCAAGGAGGAGTGTTAAAAAATGAGATATTTCTAGATGGTTTTTGTTTAATGGTTCTTTTTTAAATAGTATGTTTTGTATGTAAGGAAAGGTAGACCTTATTTTATGGAATATATTTCGTAAGAAAGTCAATAGTGGTTGGATATGTATGTTCCTCAACTAACAAAGACCAATTACTTGAGGGCAAGGCAGCATGGTGAGGACTTGACAAGTTGAAGGCTAAACATGTCATGTGGGCATGGCATTGATATTCAAATAAAGGACATGGACAAATGACGAGCAAAGCTGGAAGCAACACAAAGATCAACAATGTTCTCACTAACACTCCGACGTGCACTCGTACCTACCTACCGATTAATGGTGGACATGTTCAACCACTTGATCATGCCTAACTTGTTTGAATTTTCTTTTTAGGGATTCCCTATATGCATTTTGAATGTGGATATAAATTTTTTTTGGGCAACTGCTGCATTTTTCAAGTATTGATCATGGTGCTCCAACTTTAGCACATGAATACCTCATTTGTGTCTAGAATCAGAACCTTTTAGGAACATTCGCACCATGACCATTTGATCCTGCCTTAAAATCCCCTAAAACATCTGATTCTTTACATTCATGAATGAAACGTATTATCTGATGTAGACGTTAAGAACTAATATCTGATGTCCCTAGACTAAATCCATTAAATAACAGGAAATCTTAGACTACCTTAGTTCTTCTTCATGCTGAAAATACTACAGGGATTTCAAGTTTTACATCAAATCCAAAGCTTACCAAATAGACAAAAATGTTAGCATTCTTACCAAACTGGCTAGAAGGTTGACTGTTGAATGAGGTAATGTACCTGGAAACTGGTTGTCTCCAAAATGGAGCATTATAGACTTCTGCCAGTTGGTAAGAGAAATTACAAAGTCAAGGTCATCATGCTTACCATATCCAAGTTGGTTACTCCAAATGTTGAGACATAACAAATTCCGCAAGTTACCAAAACCCTTGGGTATATTTCAAATGAAACTGTTTACTGGAAAATCAAGCTCTAGCAATTTTGAAGCATTGGCCAAGGAGGACGGTATTGAACCAATAAATTGACATTTTGCCAAGTAATGTATTTGGAGATCAGGGAAGTAGTTCCCTAAATCGGATCCGAGATTACCAGGGATGAAAAATTGTACACTGGAGGAGGGAACTCCATGGATAAACTATTTACTGACAATCCAAGAAGCCTCAATTTGGTCAATCGAGCTAAAGAAGCTGACACTTGTCCCTCTAGATTGTTGTACGATAAATACAACTCTTCGAATGATGTAAGATTTCTAATAGAACATTGAAAGTGTCTTGTGAGGTTGTTATTTCTGAGATACAATTTCACTAACTTCATTAAAGATATAACATGGTTAGGAAGTTTTCCCAGAAGAGTGCTGTTTCCATGAAAAGGCTCTTGAGGTTAACACAATGTGATAGATTAACTGGAATAGGCTCAAATTCAGGTTTTGAATCCTTGATAGCATGCTGAGTTGTTGAGGATTTTTTTATGGAAGACATTTTCTGCAAAGAGGGGTTTCAAAGATGACCTGAAATCGTACCTGCCAGTCTCAGCCCTTTATGATTCAAACGGATGGCTCCTCCGTGTCTCAGGCAACATTTTACTCCAATCCACTAACAAAAATAAATATAATCATTCTAAGAGACGAAAACTCTTGATGGGTACTCAGTTATTTAGGATTTGAATCAAAGTAAGACAAGTTTGTCTGTTACATTCCCAAGAAAAGCAGCTGATGCAGAATGTTGGAGAGATATGAGAATATAAACACAGTATGGATAGCCTGAAAACTGTGGACGTTAAAACTTGCTGTGAAAATTTCCATTCTGGAAAATGTCAAACACCAAACGATGATACCTCTCTGATATGTTGTTTTAGGTATTGGAGCGCCACTTCATGGTATATTGACAAAAAAGTGACAAATATGCACAATTATAGACAACTGTCAATGACATAATGACAAAAAAATTATTTGTTTAGCATTTCCTTCAAGATTGATTCTGACTTTGGTGCTTGATTGATATACCGTGAGTTTACGGTATTTCTAATACGTTTCACTTACTAGTTGTGTGTGTCTAAGGCCTTTTTATATTGGTTATGATGTGTTTTTACCATGTTTTGCAGGAAAGACGTTCAGGTGCGGATGTGTAGAGACAGCTGAAGGAATTGCAGAAAAAGGGCATCCACGGAAGTGATCTACGGACCGTAGATCCATCCACGGTCCGTAGGTTATGACCGTAGATCAG